AGGTGCTGGTGGCAGGTTTGACGACACCGTTACCATGGACCGTTGGAGGAGGCTGGAGGCTCTATGGACGGGCTTCCACAGAAAGGGTCGTTATGATTTCCGAATCGGCACCGCGGACGGTTGATTCTGAGCGCTAGCTTGCCTTTGCGTATTCAGCTACCTTTAAAAATGGAAAGACCAGACCCAACCCATATTCCTGTGAACATTCATGTCACAGGAAACGAAAAAAGGGGAAAAATGGGAAACATACATAATTGATAAGCAGCCACTTTGTATTGTCCCGCATTTTCCAGACGATCTCGTCCAAACGGGCGTACATTATGGCAAGCATGGCGATCAATTTGGGATTTTTGATGCAGTCACGGAGGAATTCCCAGAACGATGGCGTTGTCACACGAGCTACACGATGTGCTTCTTCTTTGCGCACTCCAATGTCCACGGATAAACCTGTAACAGATGAGTTAAATGAAAGGCCAAATCGTTAGTATCTTAATACGAGACACTAACCCTACTTCCTAAGGGTAGAGTAAGAGAATAAAGGGGACAAGGTTTAGGCGTTGATCTTTCCTTTTTAGATGCGCCACGCATTCTCATTCCATCTAGTTCGTCGTAGTGGTTGCAGTTTGAACCATACAACGACATGGGGGAGCCAGCCATTACACAAGGCAGTGTTGCTACACTAGGTGACAGGTCCAACACCAAGAAACCGAACTTGAACTGATGGAAGGCTTGTTTGGCCTTGGCGAGATTCCATCCGAGATTTGACCACCCTCATACAAACCTAGACAGCCAAGCCTCACCCAGGTAGCCTCACCCAAGTTAAACACTCAAGTTAAACATGTGCTACTACATAGATGCATTGTAGTTATAAACAAAAAAAAAAGATTTTACCATGCGGCTGAGCGATTTCCTCTTGGAAAAACGTCTTCAAATCGCGCTGCTTCTCATCCACGTGACGAACTATGCCGTCCACCAAAAAGCCAAAGGTGACGGCATGGTAGCCGCTTGCAGTTCCTGTAATGTGCACGTATGATTGACGCTGTTCAATCTTTTCGAGGTGCACCACACAATTAACTTCGTTCAGTGGTAGAGAGAAATTTGAATGCTATCCTCATTTACCGAAAAGTGTGTAGGACCGAGCCTATCCCAGTAGGTGTTTTGCCTTTATACACGGCTGTGGTACCATTTCGCACACAACAGGAATGTAGAAGCTTTCACTAGGGGATCGTATCTCCCATAGCCATAATCCAAGATCATTTACAAAAGTTCAAGACAAGCTACAAGACTGGAGTAACTGCTAGCGACTACGGATCAGATGTTATGACCATAAATACGATCAGCTTTTACTACAATTTTTATTTGCTTATTTGCTTTCAAATTCCAATCGATCCAGCTCTTATAGTTTTGTTCATTGCTATGAGGCTAGGCATTGCAAATGGCGAATAAAAAAGATCTGGTACGGCTAAGTTTCAAACATAGAAAAACTATAGGAAATGATAAAGCGGTCGACTGCGTGTGGTGTACATTACGCTTCTATCTCTGCCCCCATATCCTCAGAAGGAAAATTGTAGCGCGGGAAGCTTCTAATCGTTCCGCAATACCCGAATCGTCGTAAACTCCGAGCACTTGTGTTATTCAGTTTATCTTTTCGAGAAGGATTCCTTCAAGGAAACAACCGATAATCATGCCACTTAGAGTTGTAAGACAAAATGTAACGAGCTAAAGGGAGATGGAGAGTTCGGAATGCTCTGAGAGCTCGGTAGAACACTGAGAACACGATTAGTATGGAAGCCCGTCAAAGCTTCACGCTCTATGAGGGCGCACATACCGCATATACATGTATACAGGGGGGGCAAAAAAAAGAGTCACTTCTCTCCACATTCAAAACGCAATTAATCTCGAACTGCGAAACCAAATCAAATGAGCCCAATTGCATATTAAAGAGCACATTCTAATCTATCAAAAACATGACAGCCTTCTACACCGACGACATCAGAAGATTTTCCCACGGAAACATGGTTCACGGTACGAGCTCAACGAGGTCGTCGAGGTACCATAGACCATTACGACGTCCCTGAAACGCTGGTCAAAAGCGGTCTTGCATAGTCACAGCTAGTGTCTCTGAGAAGCTATTCACCAGTTAATCCGATTGAAGAAATTATGTAGCAGCTTCAGGCCGGAGCGATTACGGTAAGCCTCGTTGAGCTCGACGGTGACGGCAGATGACGTCATAT